TTAGCAACCCATGTGTTGATTGATCCAGAGGTGTCAGTAAGCAGGCCTCTGGAAGCTGAATTGATGAGCCATCTCTTCAAGCCATAAAACCCTAGAGTTAGTTGTGTGTTTGTTTAGGGGCATAGTAGAAATCCTTTGACTTGCATGGCTGACATTAATATTACCTAATGTATTTATTAATTATAAGATTTTCCCAGCATTGCTTGGTCTTCACTGAAGCCGCAGCTACACCAGTGCAGCTAAAGTGTTTTACATGTAGACCAGCTCAAAGAAATATATCTATTTCTATATCTCTAAGGAAAATAAAATACTGCTCAAGACAGGAGGGAGGGAGAAGGCAGGTTTGCACACCACCTACCGAACACCTAGATGTCAGATTTACTTGACACATGGACCTGGTATAGTAACCAGAGAAACAGGTACCTGAGCTGCAAGCCATGCTTAAATGAACAGCTAGACCTATGAAGCTGCAAGGAATGGTTTACTGAAGCAGTTATGGTTGACATGGCTGACTCAAAACAAGACATGAGGAAGGCGAATGAAAATTCATTAGTAAATGGGCCAGCCATCTGCTGTGGAACCTTAGTCTCTTCATTCAGAGCCACCTCTCTGAACAGACAAGTTCTACTCAAGCTGAGATATAAGTGCACATATGACAAACTAAAGGCAATAACCTGGCAGTTTTATTCATATTGATAGAGATTTTCAGCTAGTGTAAATCAGTGTAGCAACATGGTTTTTCATGGACCAATACTGATTTACATAAATTGAGGGTCTGACCAATTTTGCTTCACTTGACACAGTAAGAAATAAAGCTGTAGTTTTTAAATATGCCTAAAATGATAATTGGCTTCCTGGCAAAACTAGTTGTAGACAGACACTTGTCCTTATAGTATCATTACTTGCTTTTTAATAGTTAATAAAATACTTATTTGAATTATATATATATACATTAATTCCCTGAGTTCATGTGCAATATTCACAATTGTATATTAACATTCCAGATTGATTTTGGTGGGACTACCCTTTGTGTAACGCTCTATACCTCATATAACACCCTGTAACCTCATATTCACCAAATGTATATGATCATCATATAATGTTCAAAGTATGTTTTCTGAGATGTTATTTGAAA